GCTTATCAATGTCATTTACATTTTTTCTTGCAGCGCCCTAAGGGCAAATCCTTCAGAACTAGTCAGCAAAAGAGTGTTTGAGTGACTTTTCAAACGGTGGCGGTTATGATTACTTCCTTTGAAAAAAAAAAGAATTAAGCTAAAAGAAATTCACAGCTAATTACACCGTCCTGGACCTTCATTAATCTTTTTTGAAAGCATTTTTATTGGGAACAAAAGAAATATGTTGGCAAAAGACAAGCAGTGACACAACTTAATATCATTGTCAAGCTACGTTTCTGTTCCAAAAAAACCCTTTGATCTTCCAGCTTATAATTTTTTTCTTCAAATCATCCTGAGGGGATAGCACACTACGAAGAAACTATAGAGTACCTCACGTGTTTGAAAAATGTTCTCATAACATGTAAAATCACAGGTTTTTTTTGTAGAATTCAGCATTGTCTGATTCATGAACAGGCATTTTTCTAACGTTAACATGTATTGCAAGCAGATTATGCATGTCAAGAAAAAAGATTGAAAACCTAGACAGACTAGATGGAAAAAATAAAAACCCATAAGTTTTGCAGAAGATAAACCGGGGGGTTCATCTTAAAGGTAGAATTTACTTCAAATACAGGAAGATTTTATGGCCAAAATAATTCATCTAGTGATGCAAGAGAAAGAAATAGAAAGACATAGAAAGATACCTATAGCTTTATTATTAAAAACACTTTACATCAGGTCTGAGAGGTTCTGTCATTTATTCTAATGGGAATCAATGGCGTTGGGCCATTGATTGCCTATATAAATTAGAAGTGAGCTTCACAGTTTAATGTTGTGATGCAATATGTTTATATTTAATAAATAAAATATTCTGAAGGGAGGAGAAAGATAATAAATGATAGTAAATCAAAGGATCACCGCACCTTTTTAAAAGAATTACATTAGGCAGATTTTCGGCTCAGGTTTTTTGCATGGAGACGTAACCTCAACACTTCAACACACCTCCTTTGGTCTTTGTAGATTTGTTGCAGAGCTGTTTGGTTTAGATACTATTTGTAAATACTTGGTGAAACATTGGGTGGACTTTTTTAGCGTATTATGTGCTAGTTATCAGCATAAAGTATGCCAGATTAATAAAGCAGTTTCAAAAAAAAAAAAAATGTTCAAATGGAAAGTTTAGAGTTTTTTTTCCAGCAATTCAGAGGAGAACTCTGAACTGCTGGCTCACCCCTCCCTTTACCTCTCGGATGGTTATTGCTAAACATTATGCTCGCCTAGAACAAATTCACTCTGACAAAGGCAATGCTATTTTGAAGTACATTTAGAAAGACAGAAGCATAATTTTACTCAAACATATTGCATCCTTCTTTGAAGGGCAGGGTGGTGAAAATGAACATATGGAGAAATAAGAACATTTACACTAGTTAAGGAGTACTACAGAAATTCACTGGGTGTGTTTTCTTTATTGACCAAGTGTTCCAGCTGACAAAGGGCTGTGAAGCAAAATTAAATAACTGACTAAAAAGAGCAAGTTCTAAAGGTAAATATCTTTAGTTTTCTTTCCCATATATGCCATTACAATTGCCCAGTATCTAAAATTACTTTTTCTCTATTTACCAGAGTTAATATAGGCTGCATTTGAAAATTTTTGAGAGCTTTATTCAGGAGCATTCTGTAGCTTAACACGTGGGTGTGACATGCTCTGCACTCTCATTTACCCGACTTACATCATTGAGTCTCTGCCGCGGAGAGAGAACAGGGACGATGATTAATGCTGATGGATCACAAAAGACCAGCCAAAAGTACACCTCAAAACCCATCATACACTCCACATAAGAGTAAGAACGTTTAACTTTTGCCATGTGTAACAAAAAGAGCCAAATCTAATCATTGCTATAATAAGACAAGATAAAATATTGGGGAAGTTTTCTAGAAGGAGGGATCTTAGATCACATCTAGCAATGGCCCTCTTTTGCTACAAAAGTAAAATGCTCTGTTCAAGATAACCTCAATATTTACCTTATCTACCTTCTTCCCCCCGGTGACATTATACACTGATTGTTGGTCACTCTGGTGAGTAGTTGAACGGACATACATGAATCCAAAGTTGTAAAAATGTTTCCACAAACACAATATCACGGTTTCCCTCAAATATTGTTCATCAACCAGTCTAAATTTGTGATAGTGAGCACTTCTCCTTGAGATAATCCATCCAACCTCATAGATGTGCTTTATCAAGATGCTGATTAGGTGTCTCTCCTGCTGATTACTGTAGGCACCATGATTAGCGCACAGGTGTGCCTTAGACTCTGAAAGGTGAAGTTTTGTTTTATTTGGGGGTCTGGGAACTCAGAAAACCAATCAGCAGACGGCTTATGTTAGAGAAATGAACCTTCAATACAATAACAACAGTTCTGGTTGACATTCCTGCTATCATCATGCCAATCGCACGCTCCCTCAAATCTTACGACATCTGTGGTATTGTGCTGTGTCATAACGCTGCACCTTTCAGAGTGACCTTTCATTTAGGGCAGTCTAAGGCACACCTGTTCACTAATTATGGTGTCTAATCAGCATCTTGATATGGCACACCTGTGAATTGGGATGGATTATCTCAGCAAAGGCGAAGTGATCACTATCACAGATTGAGACTGGTTGATAAACAATATTCGAGGGAAATGGTGATATTGTGTATGTGGACAAAGTTTTAGATCTTTGAGGTCATTTCATAAAAAATTGGAGCAGACCCAAAAGTGTAGTGTTTATATTTTTGTTGAGTTTACCTCCAAACAAAAGACCTGCAGAGCCACAGTGGCAAAATGCTTGTTTTTTCTCCCATGTAAGTGCCAAAGACCGGTGTCCGTTCAACTACTCACCAGAGGGTGCAAACATCTGCTAAAAAATAATTTTGTTGAAGCTTAACTGAATTGGTGGTCCCTCACGTTTGTATGAATATATGCATTAGTATGAATCTAAGTAGGCTCTATTTAGGTCTAATTTTCAAAAAGAATAAAGAGATGTAAACATTAACTTTATTAGAACCAGTGTTATCATTTTAATGTTTAATTTTCTGTTGCACATAAAATATAGTAGATATGTATCTAGGGAACAACACAATAGTTTTCAGTATGTTAACTATTTATTATTGCTGTTTTCCTTTGACAAAACCTACTATTTAGTCAAAACATGTTTTTGAACAAGTATTAGCTATCTTTGTATTTCATTTGACATAATTTATGGAATGCAAACTCGATACACAGTTCCAGAAGCTGTTAGGTCTTTGTTTGAAATAACAAACAGTATTGAAAACAGTTTCAGAAAATAAACAACTGTGTATTTAAACAAGTATTGGGTTTTCATTGTTAAAATGTTTTAAATTATGCAACATGCTGTGTAGGTTCTGTGCTGCACTTTTCTATTAGCTGCTAAGCCTTTTTTAACAGTAATATATAAGACAGAAATGCCAGAAATGTAGTTAAAATATTTTAATATTAACAGCTGGAGTTTCAAATTCAGGTAAATATTGAAAAATCACTTTACCATATAGTCTTAGGAGTTTTTATCTCAATGTTTCATAAATCAGTCTTCAGTTATTGTATATAATTACAGGATTCATTATGTATTCCTTGTTTTTTTCCCAATGGTAAGTCATCCTTAGAATCAATTTTGCATAATAAATTTAAGTAATATTTTTCACAATTACATTTAAATTATATATATTACTACATTTACTTATTTATATTCCTTAACTGACTGGTGAAGCTACAGTAAAAGCTGAAACAGAAAAACAGGAATAATTTTAAGAATCATTATCATGTCGTCCATTTTTTATGGTTAGAAACCTAATTCAGATTTAGAAATTTGAATGAATTTAGTAGCCAAATTCTATATAGTCTCACTGTGTATCCTTGCTGTTTCATAGGTTCACATTACAAACAACTATATCATATAGAAGCACGTTTATGGTATCCTTAGTAACACAGACATATGTATAAACCACTATTTGTATTATATGTAAGCCATGCAGGCTGCATTTAGACGGGAAGTGGTATGTAGCTAATTAGCTTTGACCATTTATAAGGGGATAAAAGCCTTACAAAAGTGTGGATATATTAAAACCAAACGTTATCAAGTCTAATCAACTTCATACAGCTCCCAGTTAAAAGACCTAAGTGTCCAGAAAAGCTTGCACTCTTTAGATTATTTAAGCTATCTTTAATTACACACTTGGTTATTTTTTATTAATTTGTGCACTTTAACTTTAAAGGCTGAAATTACCTCTAATGTGATACTGTTTTTAAATTAATATCTACCTGCAGTAACATTCTGTAAGAAATGCACATTTTTAGGAGGGTACCATGAAGAGTTTAGGCTTATTTAAAACCTTTTTAAAGTCTTCTTTTTATTATTTTTTGTTTGCTGATGTTATATTGGAATGATTCATGGAAGGGTTAATAACACTCAATGTTTCTACACGGCAGAATTAAAGCTATAGTCCTGACAGGTGGTTCCTGTTGGACATGCCTTGTGTTTTGTGTCCCTAGTCAGACCTGTTTCCTGTGCTCCTCTTTTGTTTTGTAAAACCAACAATCGAAACAAAAAAGTAACAACCTAGAGGCCTCAAAACAGTCTATCAACTAGTAGGAGATATTATGTGGGATTTATGAACTTTCTCTCCAGATGTTGACAAAATACCTGAGGGCTAACATCGATAACCAACATCCAAATCGATAATTTTACCAAAGGTTTTCAAGAGTATGATTTGTTTTAAATGAAAACTGAAAGAAGACATACAAACACTGCAATACTGATGTCACTTATTTTTAAATTTCTCTATAAACTGTTTTAAGAGACTCAACATAATCCTATTTAGTTACAGGTGTGATTCCCTCAGAAGATCACACTCCATTCAGTATACTACAAAAGACTTTCTATAATTATATGTACTCTATTGCAAAAGCCTTGAAAATAAATAACTCAAAGTGATGACTTATGTGATGTTTTGCAGACACACTGACCTGCCTCCCAACTTTGTTATTATGCAACCTCATTCTTGCATGGATGTCTCTGTAGGTTTCGCGAGCATCCAGGAAGTCCCTTGAGAACTTCTCCCCAAATTCCACATTAGGGCTGCAGCCACCCCACTCCCAGGAGTCTGGTTGCAGTCCAGAGAGGTCGGCTGGGTAATGCTCCATCACACCATGAACCATCCCCTTCCCCCTCTGAATGGCCTCCAACTGTAAGCGGGTAAGCTTCAGTCGAAAGGCCTCTTCGTCCCCACGCCGCTTCTCATCGCAGCCGCACGCTTTCAGTTTTCCCATGGAGCAGGCGTTGGCCACCGCATGCACCACCCCAGCTGCTGCAATGGCATATGCAAAGGCACTCTCTCGAAAACCTGTGGGTACAAACATTTTGTAAGTAAAAAGCACAACTTATGGGGAACGATATTAATATTTTTCTACAATAAGAAACAAGATATAAAGGAAAGGAGACCAACTCAAAATGCTGTATTATTGTGAGGTATAAGAAAAATGATACATGATTATAAAGACTAATGTCTTTCCACATATATATAGGTTTTTAGAGACCACACCATTCAATGATATTCAATGACATCCAGTTTAATTGAAATTCAATTAAATTTATTTATATAGTGCCAATTCACAACACATGTCATCTCAAGGTACGTTACAGAGACAGTACTGTCAGATTGGTTGGGATAACCATTTGATTTCATTCAGTCATTGACTCCTCCTGGATGAACCTGTGGCGATGACCTTTGGTTGCGTTTTGTTGTTGACTCTTCAGCAATCTTTCACTATCAGTTCAATTCAGTTTCATTGAATTTCACCAATTAAGAAAAAATGTAACCTCAAGAAACTTTACAAAGTCAATTTAATCGTACAGATTCCAAGCACAAGAGTAAAAATTACTCATTCTTTACTTAAGTACAGACATCTGTGTAAAAAGAGACTCCATTAAAACATAACTTACCAAATAAACTTAACTTCAGCGCAAAAGCAATATGTCTTTGCCTTAAAATAATACATAAATAAAAACATTTTGAAAAATTTTCTTAAAAAACATTTTTTCCTCTTCTGCTTACTGTGTTGGTAGAAAGAAAATGAATAAATACTGACTCAGTCTAGTTTTGCTCTAAATCTATTTTCCAGGCTGAATGATATGATTGAACTACTTTTAAGAGTTCTGGTATTTAATGCATTTAAGCTACATTCAAATTGACCTAAAACAGGAAACATAATCGGGATTGGGAATGTGTTGTCTCAGAATCTAATCCATCATCTGCATTGTTTTCCAGCCCATCAGTGTTTTGTTTTTTTACAAACAACCTGCTAGAACTGAACAAATTATTTGTTTCCTACCGTGTTGTCGCACCTGTAATGTTATGTGGTTATCAATATTCATAGAAGTAAGAAGACAGTTTTGGGAAAGTAGGAAGTCGCAAGTACAGTTTGTGTGCTCATATGTAGTGAGTAAAATTCAAAAATTCTTCAAAAAATTATTACACGTACATATACTGAAAAAGCTACCACAGTATTCTAACTAATTATTTATAATTAGTTACTTGACATCTCTGATTCCAAGTCATTTATAGTCAATATAGTCAATTTTATAGTTATAAAACAGTGCAGTTAGGTTCAGTGTGTTATTCAAATAGTTTAAAAAGTTTTCTTTCTAAGGAACCGAGCAGATGTAATTGATTTATTGACTTGGGGCATTCACCGCGTTATCCTCTTTGCAGAAATCCCTCAGATAAAGAATGCATGTAATGGTGGAAATAAAACCTCTACCATAAAGTTATCCCGACAACAGATTTGGGCACCTAGCAGTGCAGGCATACATACAGTTTTCGCCTTCATATGAAGGACTGTACAATGCTCCATAAGATCCATATTGTTGTTTGCTGTTCTAACATAAATGTGGAATAGTTCAAGGGGGGGAAACACTTTACAACACACTGTTGCAGAGTAATTGGACAGTTTGTAGTAGAAATAAGAACAAAGCTAAAAAAGAAACTGTAATTATTATTAAATATTTCAGGTAATTCTATCTAAAACATTTTATGTTTTAAAGAAACATGTGAGCCAAAAATGAAATATTCTGGACCAACAAATGTTTGCAATTGGTACTTTCATTTTTCATTTCATTAAAAAGGAAAAGGCTATATTATCCTTCTTTAAGCCACGCTGTTTAACATCTGACCCAAGTATTAGCTTTATTTGAGAAATATTAAAAGTTATTTCAGGTCAAAATACAGCACTTGGCATATATTGTTGTTCTAAGCGGGTTGCCCATCTCAAATATTAACCTATGTAACTTAAAAGGGTCGGATCTATCCCTAAAGTTCCACATTTTTGCTTAATCAACAGGAAAAAGCTACCGCTTTAGGACTCAACATTTTCTTTGCAACCACAGAAACATAAGAAAGCATGCACGACACTTAATGATTAATGAATCATCGCTTAATTGTTCTGCATTCTTATGACAGATATTACAGGTATTCCTTCCCTCTATCAACAGAATAGACAAGCATAACTCATAAAGCATGAGGAACAGTGGTGGCTGCTGCTCTTTGACACACAGGAGGCTCAATGGTGTTAATTTAATCCAATATAACGTATTGTACAATAGCTATTGTGAAGTGCTCTGAAATAATATGCTCCAGAAACCACGGCACAAGATGACTGTTCTAACTGAATGATCACTTTTCCCTTTCGACTCATGTGGAAAACCTCCTCACTGTTTGGCCACTGTCAGTCAGAAATCCTTAGGTATGATTGCCAATCAACATCTAGTAACCAGCTTCTTGATCCCTCCCTGCTCCATAGACCCCCTAAGAGGTTTAGTTTCACTGGAAGTGACATATTTTGGCGTGTCATCCAATCAGGGCTCTACTTTCTCGCTGCTTACCTCAATAGACTGAGGCTCAAACCTCAACAGGCATTTCACATAAAGACTGACCGGCAATGTCCTGCTGCTTTAGAGCGGAGGGGGGAGATCGCGTCCGAGAGTGTAATATACAGCTGATTAATGCGCAATATGCTAATGAAATCAGGTGCATTTTAGTGCATATTTAATGCAGTTTAATGACTACATTTACGAAATTTGACGATGCATATTTTACCAATAATTTCACAACCGTTACAGGGAGGGTTTAGACTCCCTTATTGTTGTTACACATATGCAATGCATAACAAAAGTAGCTGTACCGACTAAACATTTAATATTTTGTGAAGTTAAAACATTAAATTTCAACTGACATTTTTTAGATTATATGTTGTAGGGCAGGGTTTCGCCCACTGTATTCTAAGCCCTTGTGGGCTGCCTGCTTTACCTTCACCCTCCCCAATTGAAATTTGTCATTAATACATGAAAAAATGTGGAACATTTTACGGCCTATGAATGTTTTAGATGGCAATGCACAAAGTATTCTCAGAAGTTAAGTTAGCCAACACAAACAAGACACCAGGGCTAAAAATATTTCATATTTCCATCTTACCTTTTCCAAAGAATTTGGTTCTTTTAATTAGACTATAACCAGTCAAGTTGGTTAATCTCTTGTTTTTCTGGAAGATCTAGTACGATTCCGCTCATGACTTGCATCGTTTTAAACATGGTGCTGAATCTTAATGAAATATGCACTTGTTTATTTTAGAGAAGCTGCTTCACAGTGTTGTGGCTTTTGCCCTGTAATCAAGCCAAATTGGCTGAGAAGGATCAATGTAAGAAAGGGAGGTGATTATACACCTATGTGAATGTTAATGACTTTGCTACCTTGTTCAACTAAACACGTTTTTCTCTTTGACAGCAGATGATGAAATGTGTGTATTTTTTCCTTTTTGATCTGTTGTTTTTAATCGTGTGTGTATGCATTTTCCTCATAAGAAAGCAATTAATATTTGTTTGAGTAAAGGTGGAAGTTAGACAAAAAAAACATTTGCTCTTCCCATCTATGGTGTTTGTTGTAAGATCTCAGCTATCTGCCCCTGAAGGTGCCCTCTGGTTTTTTTTAAGCAGCCCAACCAACAAACACTTACTGGTCTAGAAAACAGTGAGGATTAGAATGGAAACTTGTAAACTGAACATGAAAAGAAACCTCTCAGGGGTTTACAGTGCAGTAGTTTGAAAGGGGGAAGAGTTCCAAGCTGCGTGTTGGAGTCATATAAAAACTAATAACTTCCCTTTTTAGCACCATTTGAGATAACTTACTTCTTTATACAGATGTCAGAAAACATAAAACTACATTTTTATTTTAAATTGTGGTATATCGTTTGACGTAGTTTCTGTCGTATGAAATTCTTTGCTCAGCATATCTTGCCTAATGATAAACACATAAAAATTCAAAGGAAGTTGTTTAAATACAACATTCAAATGGAACTCTAAACATAGAAGGTTTTTAACCTTGATTTAAAGAAAACCAGGGTTTCAGCACGTTTGAAGCCTCCTTGGTGTTTAAAATACTGTTTCTTCATGATTGGTTCTGGTTCTGTGGATACAGACTAGGCTTACACCAGATGATACAACTGGTTTGATGATGCTCAGCTATGTAGCACATGACTCTTTTCTCAGATACAGGAGGCCAGTCTAAGGATTTGAGAACTGGGGCGATGTACTCTATTTTTTTAGTTTCATTGAGGACAAGAGCAGCAGAATTCTGGATCAGCTGCATCTGTCTTACCAACTTTTTAGGCAGACTTGTGAAGACAGCAGAACAGTAATAATCATAACCAAAGCTCAAAGGATGCATTGATTTTTCGAGACCCTGCTAAGATTTTGGTCTTTTAATCCCAGAAATGAATCCCTAAAAGCAGCAAATGAGAAAATCAAGCTTAAAGACACAAAACAGTCTGTTGTAATATTGTGATTCTGTTATGATATTTTTTTCTAAACTTTGCTTTCCCTCAGTATTAAAACCGATCTCATAAATGTTCCTAACATGAAAAGCATTTTACTGCTGCAGATTGTATATACTGTAATATTGTATATATTGTAGATAGATTGTATATACTGTAAATTCATATGAAGAAATATTTAGAAGACGGCTATATAAAAGAAAGAAAAAATAATAATTGTGACAGAGGTTTTCTGACATCAACAAGTAGCCTAAAATACCACAGAAAGCATTACATGATACTCCACTTCTTTCTAGGACACATTCAATTCTTAACCATGCAAACTTATCAGCTTTGAAATTTTTACAAAGCAATTACTAGATCTTTTGGACTCCAGCAAACCACAGAGAGAGCCGTTTTTGAATCATTTGAAGAAAAAAAAAATTTATGTAAAATGGACCATTATCAGGAGAGATCAGCGTTCCAAAATCACTGCCGGAGTACATCCATTACCCATCCAGGAGATTCCAAAAACTTAAAG